AACAGGAGTATCTGGCAATGAAGATCCGTATAGTAAAAGCAATGGTGTTCCCCATAGTCACCTATGGATGAAAGCTGGACCATAAGGAAGGCTGAGAGAAGGAAGATAGATGCTTTTGAATTGTGGTGTTGGAGGAAAGTTCTCAGAGTGCCTTGGACAGCAAGAAGATCCAACCAGTCCATACTTCAGGAAATAAAGCTTGGCTGCTCATTGGAGGAAAGGATATTAGAGGCAAAAATGAAGTATTTTGGCCACATAATGAGAAGACAGGAGAGCTTAGAAAAAACAATTATGCTGGGGGGAAATGGAAGGAAAAAGGAAGACCAAGGGCAAGATGGATGGATGGCATCCTTGAAGCGACTGGCTTGCCCTTGAAGGTGCTGGGGGTGGTTTATTTATTTTATTTATCGTGTCATCAGCAACCATACCATTGTATTACATTTCTAACAGAACAAAACAATCAATCAGATTAAAAACACAGATTTTGCAAACTTGGTAGTTGATTAAATGTCCTTTGACCAGTATCTGGCCACTTGGAGTGCCTCTGGTGTTGCCGCAAGAAGGTCCTCCATTGTGAATGTGGCAGGGCTCAGGTTGCATTGCAGCAGGTGGTCTGTGGTTTGCTCTTCTCCGCACTCACATGTCATGGATTCAACTTTGTAGCCCCATTTCTTAAGATTGGCTCTGCATCTCATGGAGCCAGAGTGCAGTCTGTTCAGCGCCTTCCAAGTCGCCCAGTCTTCTTTGTGCCCAGGGGGAGTCTCTCATCTGGTATCACCCAGGGATTGAGGTGCTGGGTTTGGGCCTGCCACTTTTGGACTCTCGCTTGCTGAGGTGTTCAAGCGCTGGGGGTGGTGACAGCCAACAGGAAGCTCTGGCATGGGCTGGTCCTTGAGGTCCCGAAGAGTCGGAAGCGACTGAACAAATGAACAACAACAAAATAGGAATATAGTGTTTACTCACGCTACCCCTCTATTCCACCTTGGTTAGACTACACATGGAATACAGTGTCTAGTTCTGGGCACCACAATTGAAGGGAGATGTTGACAAGCTGGAACGTGTCCAGAGAAGGGCGACTAAAATGATAAAAGATCTGGAAAACAAGCCCTATGAGGAGCAATTTCTCTTCTGCATGTTTAGCAGAAGAGAAGGCTGAGAGGAGACATGATGGCCATGTGAGGGGAAGTCATAAGGAGGAGGGTGCAAGCTGCTTCTGCTGCCTTGGAGAATAGGATGCAGAACAATGGCTTCAAACTGCAGGAAAGGACATTCCACCTGAACATGAGGAAGAACTTCCTGAGTGCGGGAGTAGTTCAGCAGTGGAACTCTCTGCTCCAGAGTGTGGCGAAGGATCTTCTTTGGGGGCATTGAAACAGACATTGGATGGCCATCTCTTGGGAGTGCTTTGAACATTATTTTTCCTGCTTCTGGGCAGGGGGTTGGACTGGATGGTCCACGAGGTCTCTTCCAGCTCAATGATTCTATGGTGTAGATTAGGCATGGGCCAACTTGGGCCCTCTGGGTGTTTTGGATACAGCTCCCACAATGAATTGTGGGAGCTGCAGTCCAAAACACCTAGAGGGCCAAAGTTTGCTCATGCTTGTTCTATGGTGTAGATTAGGCATGGGCCAACTTGGGCCCTCCAGGTGTTTTGGACTACAGTTCCCACAATTCCTAACAGCTTACCGGCTGTTAGGAATTGTGGGAGCTGCAGTCCAAAACACCTGGGGGGCCCAAGTTTGCTCATGCCTGTTCTATGGTGTAGATTAGGCATGGGCCAACTTGGGCCCTCCAGGTGTTTTGGACTACAGCTCCCACAATTCCTAACAGCCACCGGCTGTTAGGAATTGTGGGAGCTGCAGTCCAAAACACCTGGAGGGCCCAAGTTGGCCCAGGCACTCCTCCAAAGAAGATCTACACCTCCTTGAATCAATACATTGGAGCCAAGTGACAGCAGTGGGGCTTCCTGGGGGAGAGGAGGAAGCCTCTCTGGGCTTTTGCAGAGGGAACAGATGGAGAGGGCGGAGGCTGGGGCGCAGCAGGGGGTCTCCGTCCGGCTAGAGACGCGAATTGAAGCCGCTTCGGGGCATCAGAGGCGGGGCGGTATCTAGGGAGGAGGAGGAGGAGGAGTGGGAGGAAACTTGTGAAGAAAAGCAAGCCTGGCGAGGCTTGACTGACGGGGATGCCGGCAGGACTACCCAGGTCTCCTCTGCCGCAAAGGCTGCTCCCGCTGCAATGAATGAGGAGGGAGGAGGAGGAGGAAGACGAAGAGGAGGCTGCTACTGCTGCTGCCGCTCCGGTGAAGCACAAATCCACCGCATCTCCTCCTCCTCCTCCAGCAGCAGCAGCAACCGGGAAAGCGGCTTACATCACAATCCGGGCTTGAGCTGCTGCTGCTGCTGCGGGGATTGCGGCGGCCTTCCTTTCTCCCCGCGGCCGAGGAGGAGGAGGAGGAGGAGGGCGAGGATGTCCTCCTCGGCGGGTGAGGAGCTCCTCCAGGCGGACGACCCTCGCCCAGGGCCCCGGGGCCGCTCGCCTTCCGCCTTGCTTCGCCGCAAAGGAGGAGGAGGAGGCGGCGGAGGCGGAGGAGGGAGGAAGGCGCCGCTGCTCCGCTGGGACGAGGTGCCGGACGACTTCGTGGAGTGCTTCATCCTGTCGGGCTACCGGCGGCTCCACCTGACGGCGCAGGAGTGCCTGGCCTCGGTGGTGCAGCCCACCAACGAGACGCTCAACTTCTGGACCCACTTCATCCCCCTGCTGCTCTTCGCGGGGAAGTTCGGGCGGCTGCTGCTGCTCCGCGGGGCGGGCGGGGGTCTCCCCTCGGACCACCCGGCCCTGCGCCCGCTCTGGTGCTACGCCTCCGGGGTGCTGCTCACCTTCGCCATGAGCTGCACGGCCCACGTCTTCAGCTGCCTCTCGCTGCGCCTGCGCGCCGCCTTCTTCTACCTGGACTACGCCTCCATCAGCTACTATGGCTTCGCCAGCACTGTGGCTTACTACTACTACTTACTGCCAGGGCTGAGCTTGCTAGAGCCACGGACGCTGGGACGGGCCTTGCAGCAACACCTAGGCTGGCAGGTGGACTGTCGGGGCGCCATCGCGGCCTACCGCGCCCTAGTCCTGCCTGTGGCCCTGGCCCTAGCCGTGGCCTGCACCGTGGCGTGCTGCAAGAGCCGGGCCGAGTGCTGCGCCTACCCCTTCGCCGTCCGCACCTTCGTCTTCGTCATGCCGCTCAGCATGGCCTGCCCCATCATGCTGGAGAGCCTCTTCTTTGACCTGCGGGACCGGGACCCTACCCTCTTCGTCCACTTCTACCGCCGCTACTTCTGGCTGGTGGTGGCCGCCTTCTTCAACGTCAGCAAGATCCCCGAGCGCATCCAGCCGGGCCGCTTCGACATCGTGGGACATAGCCATCAGCTCTTCCACATCTTCACCTTCCTCAGCATCTACGACCAGATGTTCTACGTGGAGGAAGGGCTTCAGAACTTCCTCCGCAAGCCACCGGAGGCCTTGCCCACCTTGGCCGGCACCTTGGGCTACATGCTGGTCTTGATGCTCTGCCTGGCCCTGGTCGTCCGGCGCTTCCTCAACGTCCCGGGCGCCTGCAAAGAGGATTGAGGCAGCCTTCTGCCCTCCATTGAGGGGACACGGTCCAGGTTCTTAAATAAAACATGGGTAGTTTGTTCTAAAACCTTGGCCTCCGCTGCAGAACTCCCTCCACACGGTTGGTTCTTCCAATGAGGGAAGGAAGGTGAGCTCTGGAGTTGTCCCATTGAGCGCCAAACTCCTTGTCGGAAGCTTGTGTTTTGCTTGAAACAAAGGTCGGGCTTTCAGAAAAGGCAGTCAAGCCATTGTACTGTATACAATCCATTCTGTTTATTGCTTCCCAATCGAGAGCGCCCAACTCCATGTAGGAAACTTGCGTTTTGCTTGAAACAAAGGTCTGGTTTTCAGAAAAGGCGGTCAAGCTGTTGTACTGTACACAATCCATTCTATTTATTGCTGCTTCTCAATCGAGCGCCGAACTCCGTGTCGGAAAAGTGTGTTTCGCTCGAAACAAAAGGTCGGGTTTTCAGAAAAGGCGGCCGAGCCGTTTGTACTGTATACAATCCATTCTATTTATTGCTGCTTAGGATACAAAAATAAGCCATTTAGAACTATTGCTTGAAATCTCCTCCAAATTGATCCTCTGTGCATTATTTGATAGTAAGCCTCGTGGACTTATGCCCGGCTTACGTCCAGCTAATGTACTTAGGATCAGGGTTTCAGGGGAACAATATGCATGGACCACGTGAATGCTAGCTACTGATGTCAGACTGTCAGCTCTAGGAGATGTCGTTTCAATTAGCAATATACAGTAGACCTGCACTGATGAACAATTGCAGTTTGGAATCAAATCCCGTATGTATTTCCTTGGCCTGTTATGCGCTCAAGAATGTGTCTTCTGCTAAAGCACTTGGAAGTCCTATGCACTGGAACTAGACTTTTGACACAAGATCACTTTTGTGCATTTGTAGTGATGTTGGCCAGAAGGCAAATGTAACTCTGAATGTGTTGTCGAAGGCTGTCATGGCCAGAATCACAGGGTTGCTGTGAGTTTTCCGGGCTGTATGGCCATGTTCCAGAAGCATTCTCTCCTGACATTTCACCCACATCTATGGCAGGCATCCTCAGAGTTTGTGAGGTCTGTTGGAAACTAGGCAAGTGGGGTTTATATATCTCTGGAATGTCCAGGTTGGGAACAATGGAACATAACCAAATAGCCCGGAAAACTCACAGCAACCCAATAACTGTGAATTATAGTAAATCCAGGTTATAATTTGATCAAAAGCTGCTGGTCAAGCAACAAAACAGAGCTTGTATAAGTGATGTGGCTGCAGACAGACTGAAAGAGAGAAACCCTGCATCTTACAGGACATTTTGTACTGTGAATTGGACACCCGGTTGTAATTACATAATTAGTGAAAGGTCAGTATTTGAATAGGTGACAGCACGTAGGTTCAAAAAATGACTGCAGTGGGGCTGCTGTTTAGAACGAATGCAAAAGCCTGTTTGTCAACATAGCTCTGCATTGGCTGGGGGTGAAATGGATGGAGGCCCTGCAATGAAAGGGCTAGCAAAAGCCATCCCTAATAGGAGAGAAATGCTATGCTGACTCCTGTATGAAGCTTTCTTTACATAGCATACCAAAGTGTGCACTGTTACCCCAGCGTAATGGCTTTTGATCTGGCATTTGGCACCAACAAGATTCAAACCAGAATTGTGGACACACAGGGTTTTTAAGAAAGTCCTGCCAAGTACAGGACCTAATCACCAGCAATGTCAATTGATTTGCACTGTCCTTTATTCTGGAATAACAGCCACTGAGTTTTCATGCCCTTCTGATTTGTTTACACAAGGAGAGGGAATAAGTCAGAGTTTTCCTGAGGGGGAATTTTCCAAACAAACCTTGGCAAATTCTTACCCCAACTGGTGAGAGTGGCAGTGTTCTTTGGCCTTGGCGGTTTTATGGAGAAGTGTAGTAGCCTATGGACAATTCAGGGTCCTTGATAAACCCGTGTAAAGCACTGGAATTCTTGCTCATGTTCACCGTGACAATATCTCAGGGCTATAATGTTGGTTCAGCTGCTTCTGAATTCTGATTGTATTTAGAAATCAATAGTAAACAAAACAAGACTCGTAGTAGTATAGAAATGAAATTCAAAGATATCCTGTGTTGAGAAAGTTGTGGATGCAGATATCACACTTTTTATTTCAAGGAGAAAAGTTGCTTTTAAAAGCCTAACAGATTGTAATCATTGTGGCATAAGCTCTTATGGTCAAGGTGTATGAAGTATTACCCTCATTTGGTGGATGGGTGCATACAATATTTATCATTGTCTTTGGGTAGAGCTGGAATAGAGAGTGCATACTTCTGCAAGGCTCGGGGATATACAAGATTAGTATAGGGCCCTTCCACACAGCTCTATATTCCAGAATGTTAAGGCAGAAAATCCCACAATATCTGCTTTGAACTGGGTTATCCGACTGAGTCCACACTCAGATAATGTGAGATTTTCTGCTTTGATATTCTGGGGCTGTGTGGAAGGGCCCGTATAGACCAATCTCTGGGAACAACCCAAAAGATGTTGCAGAAGATGAAGAACAAGTTGATCCACTCACCTCTCCCATTCCTCTAACAAAAGTCAACCCAATACTTGTGATGGGGCAGCATTTTCCACCTCATCTTAGGGTAGGAGGCTAGTAGGACAGCCACATGGGACACAGAGCTCTGTCCTTCAGCAGGACTGAATGATCAAAGGTAGCAGCTGCTGCTGCTCACTCCATGCCATTTATCATCCGCTGCCAGTGGCAACTGCCTCACTCCACTGAATGGAATGGCCAGCCCTGACATTCTTAGTACAGTGTTTCAAGATAATGTACTCTTTCTAGCTTTGCTTATTCAAACTGAAAGCTGAGTGGGAGAGAGACATTGGGTCTAGTTGGGATCTAAATGAATATGGAATCAAGCTTCTACAGTCTTATTACACTGCGTGACATGATTTTTGTTCCTGGGCTGTAAATGTCATTTCCCAACTGATTCTATTATACAAACATGGGAAAAATTATTAAATTGCAAAAACGTTGTTTTTGCAGGATACCCTGCAGCACATTTTGCTATAGTTTTTCAATGAATATCTCATAGAATCTCCACCAATCCAACATCCTTTGTGGCAGCCACAAAATTAAGTTTCTAGAGTATAACAACTACTTTTGAAAGTACATACCACACAATTAAACAGGAAATAACACTTTCAAACCAGGAACTGGGGGGGGGGGGGAATCACATTTTGTTACATAGTGTTACAGTGTGGCAGATTCCTAGTGAAGGAGGGCTGGCAAAGCACACCCCTTTAGATTTTTTCCCCCGACTGTATCTTCTAATTGCCTTTAGGAACCTGGTTACACAACTAGAATTGTTGGGAGTCATCCAACCCTGTGCCTGAGTCTCATGTTCAAGTCAGAAGTAATATAGTGGGTTTCAAGGTCAGCAGGACGCTTTGAGAGATTTAGGCCATTAAAAGAATAAACAGAAATCTTCTTCTGGGGCTCTTTTGCACCAGATAGTTATAGCATCCCAATTCCTCTTGAAGTGTCTTGGTCCCATCTTATGGAAACCTGAGGTTTGTAGTTTAGTGAGGCACTACAGTTCCTCACCTGAGACAGATTAGAGAGATGGGCCAAAACTAACGAAATGAGGTTCAAGAGGGACAAATGCAAGATACTCCACTTAGGCAGAAAAAATGGCATGTAAGGAGACAGATTGGGAACAACAGCAGTACACATGAAAAAAATCTTGGAGCCCTTGTGGACAACAAGTTAAACATGAGCCAAGAACGTCACACAGAGACTTAAAAAACCAATGGGTTTTTGGCCTGCATAAATAGGAGTACAGTGTCTAGATCCAGGAAAGTAATGCTACCCCTCAATTCTGCCTTGGTCAAACCTCATGGGTTGAATGGCCCATGAAGCCTCTTTAAACTCTATGATTGTATAATTCCAAGTTCCTCTCCCAAAGTGTAAATCCCAGGATTCCATAGGATGGAACCATGGCAGTTAAAATGTAATCATAGCACTATAGTTGTACAGTGTGAAAGGGCCTCTGGTATCAAAACACACTTCTGTAAAAAATAAGTTCTTAAGTGCTTTGCTTTGGTCAGCAGCAATGGTGGCTAGATGATTCTGAGATTTGTAGTTTAAAAAAAATCCTGCAGGACTCAAAAGAACTGTTGATAACAAGGTGTCTTGGAGGTCACACATTCATAAGGTTGCCATATGGTTGAAGCTGAGCTGATAGCAATTAGCAACAAAACCACACGAAGTATGCATGATTTTGGGGGTAGGGAGTCCTTAGGGCAGCCCTTCCAAGCTCATGGGCTTACAAACACTTGAACAGGGGCATTCTTAGGTGGTGTAATTGTGTTGTCTGAGCTGATAAAGCAGCAGAGGCTGTAGCAAAATTATTGAGAGCTTGCACCTAGTTATAGATGCCTTTTTTGTTACGGGTACATTAACTATATTAGAGAACAGCCTTTCTGCTCAAGACCAATGAGAGAAAAACATCCTTGTCCAAAACAGCATCCATCATCACAAAAGCTTTGGGCAGAGGCCTGCCTTTTCCTGCCAACAAAACCATTAGTCATCTACCTAACAGATTTTGGGAAAGTTTGGAATTTTGTTTTCACTACAGGCTACCAAATTCTCCAGCCAACATAGCCACTAGTTATGCTGGCTGTCAGATTATGGGAAGTTTAGTCCAAAATACATCTTCAAGCTCCAACAACTAGCAGGACCTGACCTAGTCTTTTCCTCCAAAATTCTCTGTACATTTGGCTGCAGTATTTAGAAAGCAATAAACACTCATGCTTTCTAAGGGATTCATTTGCCACTTACCTGAAAAGTATGCTTTTCCATCAACAAAACATTTAGTGGTGACTCCATAAAGTTGCCAAACTAGCACTTATCAGATGTGTGATTCTGTTAATTGAGGAGCAAGTTGGAACTAAGATTTTTCTCTTCTGCTCTAGGCATTTAATTGGCATCCTAAAATCTTGAAGATTGCATTAAGAACAATTACAGCAGTTTGCATGGCTAGTGTGTTCCTTTTGCAAACTTTAGAGTGATTCACAAAAGTTTGGCAAGTCTACATTTCTTTCATTTCACAATCTTGTGTCTCCAATTCTGTGAGGATACCAGTTTATGATTATGATGAAGAGAGTTACACTCCACCAAAACATATGCTACAGTAAATCTGTATAAAAGACTTTGCCCCTGCAACATGTTAATTTGTCTACCCCAATTTATTTATATACATGACTCCAGTCCACAATCCTGCGTCTTCAGATTTTAATTCTGTTTGCCTGACAGAAAAAAACACACTTGTTTGACCTGAATAAATAATTTTTTAAACTGTCAATGTGAGGATAGCAACATTATCATTTTGGGAAGTGAAACGTTTACCAATAATTTAGCCAAAGGAAGAATGTAATTCTGTATTACTTTTACAACCTTTCTCTGTTCCTCTGGTGCCTCCTAATTTGATGTACTGTAGTAGTAAATAGGCATTAAGAGTCACTTAATCTTTGAATGTGGATAGTCTGGAGGGCTTTTAAAAAAAAACCCTTGGTGACTCTAATTACTATTTCTTATCAGATGTACAAATAGAGGCACTTTTTTCTTATGAAGAAAGCCTGGGGTGGTTCTGGCTTTTGAAAGTTGTTCAGTGACGAACAGCTGATTTGATTCCTGACCAGACATTCTGTCAGTATTCATCTCATTTTTAAGTCTGTAAAGCAGACAGTATCTTTCGGAGGCAGGAGGAAGGGGGCAGGCAAAGCCAGGACTGTAATCCAACTAGGTATGACAGATATATTACATAACAATGTGGCATCACCAGTAACATGCAGCAAGGAAATCAGACTGTGTAGTAATGGAGGCATGATTGTCATTGCTGGAAATACAGGGTGTAATTTATTAGTGGATTATTATTGATTTGACTGAGAAATATCCAGTTACCTCATTGACCAAATTTCATAAATAAGCATGAGCACACACTCCCTAAACAGTGATATTTAACAATGGTTTGTTTTGCTACAACATGGCTGTGTTGTGTTTGAGAACATAAACCATGATGGTGTTAATTCACATGGCTTGCTGCAAACTTCGGCCCTCCAGGTGTTTTGGACTTCAACTCCCATAATTCCTAACAGTCCCAGGCCCTTTTCTTCCCCACCTCAGCCACTTAAGCTAAATGTTATGCTAATCAAAGAATGCTTAAGGACATTTTTCAGCCTCTTCAGCTTCTTAGTCTAAACAGACCAGAGTTGATTTCACTGTATGTGAGAGTAGAGAAGTTACTATTTTGGACCACAGTTTGCAGGATCCCATGGCAACCATGACCATTGGCCTTGTTGAATATATAATTCTGAGTTTTAGTTTTTAAAAGTTTATTGTTGTTTTTTATTCATTCAGTCACTTCTGACTCTTCATGACCTTATGGACCAGCCCACACCAGAGCTCCCTGTCCGCCATCACCACCCTCAGCTCCTTCAAGGTCAAGCCAGTTACTTCAAGGATACATCCATCCATGTTATTTTTCTTCTTTGTATTTTATTTTGCTGTACTGTAATTTTGGGCATGGCCTCATGTTAGCTGCCCTAAGTTCCCTTCGGGGGGAGATGGTGGTGTGGTACAAATAAATATTATTATTATTATTATTATTATTATTATTATTATTATTATCCATCTTGCCCTTGGTTGCCCCCTCTTCCTTTTTCCTTCCATTTTCCCCAACATCATTATCTTCTCCAAGCTTTCCCGTCTTCTCATTATGTGGCCATCTTTGCCTCTAATATCTTTCCTCCAGTGAGCAGCCGGGCTTTATTTTCTGGAGTATGGACTGGTTTGATCTTCTTGCAGTCCAAGGCACTCTCAGAATTTTCCTCCAGCACCACAGTTCAAAAGCATCTATTTTCCTTCATTCAGTTTTCCTTATGGTCCAGCTTTGGCATTAAAAGATTACTACGGGAAATACCACTGATTTGCCCATATGATGTCTCTACTCTTAACACTTTTATGGAGATTGGTCATTGCTCTCCTCCCAAGAAGTGAACGTCTTCTGATTTCCTGGCTCTAGTCTACATCTGCAGTAATCTTCGTGCCTAGAAATACAAAGTCTGTTACTGCTTCCATGTTTTCTCCCTCTATTTGCCAGTTATCAATCAGTCTGGTTGCCATAATCTTGGGTATTTTGATGTTTCATTGCAACCCAGCTTTTTCACTTTCTTCTTTCACCTTGGTTAGAAGACTCCTCAGCTCCTCCTCACTTTCAGCCATCAAAGTGGTATCATCTGCATATCTACGGTTATTAATGTTTCTTCCAGCAATTTTAACTCCAGCTTTGGATTTGTCAAGCCCCGCACATCGCATGATGTGTTCTGTGTACAAGTTGAATAGGTTGAGTGAGAGTATACAGCCCTGCCATACTCCTTTCCAAATCTTGAACCAGTTCTGTGTCTGTTCTTACTGTTGCTACTTGGTATCTTCGTTCTTTTTCATTTTGTACAATATGAATAAAAACAAAGTATCTTTGTTCCTATTCATATTGTGAGGCCATAATCCTTGTTAGTCTTAAGCTTCATTACTATATTTGAAGTGGGATGATCAGGGAAATATATAGTTACTGGAACAAAAAATATATTATCTACATGTTCTTTTTCCAGTGCCTGAACAATTCTCTGTGATTTTGTAAACTTTTACATTCTTTTCCTGACTACAGAAGGGTCTCTAAATGTGGAACTGCTGCCAGATTTAACCTGCATTGTATTCAACATATATTCTTAGTATGCACACAATGGGTCTGACATTCGGCCTCCTAAAAATAAATGTTTCAGTGTAATGCAGCCAGAAAAAAACATAATTGTTTTAATGATTTCCTTCAAGTGACTCACCGAGCCTTTGGAATAAATTATTTATTTGAAATATTTCTTCAGGATATGCCTTTGGAGCATCTAGTTGACAAATAAGAAATGCATGAGAAAGTGGAAAAGCCAAGTCATTGGAACTCTCAAACCTAGGAGGAAGCTCAGAATCCAAGCTAAATTTAAAGCGAGCCTGCAAAGAGGATTATGTAATCAGTTTTTGTGTGCTTATCAGTTACAACATAAGGGGCATCTTGCGGGGCAATGTGAGGCCATAGTAAACAGTAAAAATACATTTGATATTTGGACCATGTGATGTCTTCTATATATATCTCAATTACAGATAAAAGCTTATGGTGCTCATGGGGTTCTTGCTGTCCTTTCAACCATTTACCTGATTGTTCTCCTCATTTCCAGACTTAGTCATTTTTGCAGCATTGGGTCATGTTCAAGATCCGATTTCTTCTTACTAAATATATTCAATGTGATTGAAGCATGCTACCAATCTTAAATCTATTTAGAAAGTGATTCTCCTATGACATTAGTACTTGCAGTTTAACTTTTTCTGATTCACTGGGTTTATTGAAAGACAGATAGATCCAACTGGATGTTTTAAACAGGACTTTTAAAAAGGTTTCCTTACTTGTAATGTGTCGACTGCTATACGTCTCTGCAGGATTTCTAGTATTTAAGTGTTTATTTTTAGTGCTCTGTTTAGTACTCTGAAGGGCACACGTGTAGCAATGCCAGCAGAATTCGAAATTGGTCAGTTATACATAAATATGGGTCAAAGGAAAAGATAAACCTTCTGTAATACAGAGGACCAGAGTTGCTGAAGTGTTTGTTTTTCAGTTAGTAGGGAATTCCTTGCTAAATTGAGAGCAAGAACTTGACCCTGGACTGCAAACACCAGGAGACTGTTTTGTTTATCTGCAGGCATACATAAAATTCAGGCTGCAGTTTTGCCCACGAGCAGTGTTCGGGAGACAGATTTTTACAGGGCTTTAAATAGTCTGCATTGAACATTTGTTGTTGTTGTGATAGAGTAAAAGAAGGTCACAATATACTGGAAAGGCCATTGCTCATTATGTACTGATTTGCACATGGGATTATATATACTAATAGCATAGAGGGTAGCCTGTCCTAATCTTACTTCATCCAAATATTCTGGACTACGGATCCACCAATTAACGTATTGACAACAGGTGATGGGACTTGTAGTCCAGCATATCTGGAGTGCATCAGCCTGGGAGAGCAGATGTGGCTATTACCAACAAAGTAATACATCTCTTCATAGTGGAACAACTGTAGGTCTTGAACATGATTGTGCACTCATGGAAGAGGCAAGTGTTGTGAATACCAAAGGCCCTTCCACACAGCTCTATATCCCAGAATATCAAGGCACAAAATCCCACAATATCTGCTTTGAACTGGGTTATCTGAGCCCACACTCGGATAATGTGGGATTTTCTGCCTTGATATTCTGGGATAAAGGGATGTGTAGAAGGGCCCTCAGTGAATCTTGCTGGATTTCATTCCCTCTCTGTCTCCATCTCTCTCTTTCCTTTTATTTTGTTTTATTAGTGTTTGCTCCCCACAAGAGCCAAGTGTTTGCTACAGAGTACATGATGTTTCATCTGCTTCAGAACATATACCTGTTGTGAATCTTTTGTTTCCAACAGGCTAAAAATATAATTACCTGAGTACATTCCTTTATACTTCAGTATTTAACAGAGAAGTAAATGTGGGAGTACAATAATACATAGTCTACTACTTCCAGAAACCTGTCATTCCTTTGCTGAGATCTGGACAGAAAATTGGGATGATGACTGTATTTATGTGCCCAATGGTTTGAGGTTTTTGAGAGATGGTTTCTGGGAAACCAACTCTCATCATGTTAAAAATGATAGGATCCAAGATGCCCACTGCATTCCCCATAACTTCTGTTACTTATAGGAACACCGCCACTGATACCAATAATACAGAATTTTCAGAGGGGTTCTGGGACAAATGTCTCCCCACACACACATTAAAGTAGCTCCTGCCTGCTTGTAGAAGAGTCCCAGGCTGACCATGCTGGCTGAGAGTGTCTGGAAGTTGTAATCCAACAAAGAAACTTTTTCAGACTCTGTCCATCTATTGCATCCTAATCTCCCTCATCTAGCCTCTGGCAGTGGTTGGAATGGCTGTTACTGCCTGAAATGTATTGCTGATTGAACTGCATTATATGGTCCGTGTACTTATATAATGCAGTCTAACTGCATTAACTGGTCTATATGAGTCTACACTGGCCATATAATGCAACTCAATCTATATTCTAATGGCAGGGTAGGTGGGACCCAAGACACTCATACTTGGAACACATTCATTGGAATTGATAGGAATTACTTGTGAGTCACGAAAATATTTATCGTTTCCTTACATTGTAGAAAGGCTAACACATTGGAATCTTAAGCAGCAACAAAGAAGGGTTTAAATGCACAATGTGGTTCTTCATGCAAAAAAAAAAAAACAGAAACCTGCCAGCCCAAAAAAATTACCATTTTACGTTTTTTGTGTTCTGGTCCTCTCTTGAAATTCATTCTCTGTTTGCAGAGTAGGGAAGTCCTAGCCAAACTACCTATTTCTAGTAAAAGTATGACTTGTTTTTTCCCTGTGTTTGACTCAACAAAGGCTGTATCCATATGTGTAATATTTCTGCCAGGACAATTGTGAGGAAATGTTGTATGGTGAAGCTAACTAAAACCATTTGGTTGCATCATACACAGAGTTAATACCCATATATGCACATTATACCTACCAGCGTGACTGGAGTGCTGAATTAGGATTAAGTAGTTACTTCAATTCTGATCTGAGTTTGGTTGTTAAGAGTTTGTTATAATCATATGCAAATTATCCATAGACACAGAATTTCGTTTATATCATCTTTCTAAGCACTATAAATACATCCTGGTATTTTTCTCTGACTGCTGTTTGCATGTCAACTAAGACATTGCTTGTGTCAGATATGGTTTGTTCCTTTGACCAAACAAGCCAGTTCTCTTCTCCCATTCACTTTTTCTGAGTATTTCTCTCTTGCTCCTTTTGTGAGCTCCTGTGTCAGAAAGACAGCTAGTAAGAGAAGACAGAGTTGTGGGTTCAGCTATAATGCAAGACCATGGCTAGTGAGCCAACAACAAACCATGACTTCTAATTGTGGTTTGGCACTGACTGGCAAGCTATGGTTTGTTTGTAGTACCACAACAAATCAGGATGACAGAAACTGCAATCTATCTTAGCATTATGTGCAAATCTGACCCATTTTTCCGGAAGTAGCAAAGCAGGATATTATGGAGGACAGGAGTTTTGTAATTTTCTCTTTATCACTGTCTTTCCTTCTTTCTTTGGTATGTCTAAGGCTAGCTCTGCACTGCCATATAATGCAGTTTGAACTACATTGAACTTCATTATATGGATCTACACTGACCTTTTAATACAGTGTATTATATAGCTGTGTAAATACTGCCTCACACAGAGAGAGACAAGGAGCACAAAAACAGACATCTGTTGAGCCTCTGGGTATCTTCCCACCAGATATAATGATAATGGATGATGCCTTTAGGCTGAAATCCAGAAATAGTAAGTCAATCTGTTATTTCAAGCACAGGTTTACTTTATGGAATACTTTATCAGACTTTGTGTGCATATGTAAAACCATGGATAATAGCAA